TCCAACACTCCCATTTCCAAGAGACGTGAGATCTCTTTGTACCCAGCTGCTTCGTCCAAGGCTTCTAGCTCATGTTGAGGAAGAACTGGAGGTCTACCTTCGTCCATTGGTGAATCATCCAAACCTTCTCCAAGTTGAAACTCTTCAGACTCATCCATGTAGTCTGCCACTTCGTTTTCCCAGATCTCATCATCGATCTCTCCAATCTCCAAGACTTGTTGGATGTTGCCAGCAAACTGAGGTGGGTAAAGACTGCTTGCCGTTGCTGAAGAAGGACTTCCTTGAGGGCTAACTCGAGGTGCTTTCTGTTGAGGCTCCTCGACATTGCTATCATCCACCAAAGCTTCACCAGAATCTCCAGGTGCTTCTCCTTGTCGCGCAGCTTTGTTTGGAGAAAGCTGCTCCTCAGGACCATCACGTTTGATCCCATGCTCAAGCTCGAAGTCTTCCAAGTCGCTCACAGGGCTTGGAGGGTGTGTCCGGGCATATTCTCTGACATCTCTGGCATCATAGTCAATCGCCTCCTCAGGGATTGTTGGATGCTTCTCAGTCACCGGCTTGGGCGTTGTTGGAGCACCAAATCGAAGATTCTTCAAAGTTGCTTTCCTTGTCAGCACTTGCTTGTACGGCTTGTCCTTCAGCATGAAGAGCCATGTTGCTCTCCACGGGTCACTAAGGCGTCTGATTGCCTTTCCACGTACCATACCATTTGGGGTAGCAACGACATGAAGGTCATCTCCATCAGTCTTTGTGAGCCAAGTTCCAGGTACCCACTGTGGGCCAAGTTTGGTGTTGAGCCCACGGCGATGCAAGACCAAAACCATCTCGCCAAAACAGGCTACCTTGCCTGAGTACCTCCTTCCATACACCAGCTCAAAGGGGCTCATCTGGGTCGTGGTGTGGTTGACAAAGCGGTTCAGGGTCCAAGCAGCATGAACGAAAGACCAGGGCCAGATTGCCTGGTCACCAGGTAGTTGAAGGCTGCATCTGTCAGATGCCATCTGAACCAAAGTTGAGCTTTGCCTCCTCAAAGTTTGTATCACCCGTTCCACCTGGGCAGTACGACCTTTGTCTCCAGGACGGGAATGAGTCACCACTGTCGGATAACCCAGATGCTGTCTCATCAGCTGAACACTTGCTAAGAGAGATTTCATGGTGGGTTCAGCATCGCTGACAAATTCAACTCGATCCATGTAGTTGAGAGCCATTGAGAACCGCACCAAATGTTCAGCTTGTCCACGTAGGTTGGCTCCTTTGGAAGGTACAGGGTGCACTGAGATCATTTTGGTCTGACAGTCGATGGCCACCAAGATCGTGTTCAAGTAGTCAGATCCATCAGCTTTGGAAAAGCAGTAATCCAGCTGAATGCTGGGAATTGATCTCCTTTCTTCTTCTTGATGTTCAACTGGTCGTTGTGGATCTTGCTTGCTTTTGCAACTGACGCAGTAGGGGCACCATGGTTGAAAAGGTAGGTGAGCCAGTTCATGTTGCTTCACCTCTTCTTCTGTTGGTTCACGTGGGACAGATTGTCCAACCAGCCCTTTCTGCCACTGCTGTTCCATGTAGAGCTTGTTGGCCGTGACAAAGCTCTCCTCGTGTTCCAAGGTTTGGGCACGTTGGTTGATTCTGTGCCATAGGCTTTTCTTGGATCCACCTTGATTGACACCAAGAAAACTGGCAGCAGCTCTGAGCAAAACCAAGCTGCTTTCCACCGTGATGGTGGTGCCGTTGACAACCAGGGAGTCTCTGTTCTCAAACTCCCAGACAAACTCAGGAACTTCTTGTGATCCCGCCGGTTGAGGATCAACTTGCATCAACTCCTCAGGCTTGTGGCCTTCCAACAGCTCTGCAGGGACACCCGGCTCCTCAGCAAAACCAAAACCATCCAAGTTCACTTCAGTGCCACCTGCTTCTACCAGCTCTTGACCGCAGACTGCTCCTAAGACGTCAGTCGATTCCTCCTTCTTGTGCAGCATAGTGAGCACAAGAGTCGGCTTGTGGCAACCTGGAATCTCGTCCTCAATCTCCTCGTCCAGGTAGTACTGGTTGCAAGTCTCCACAAGCTCCCATGACAAATCATCATGTTGAAAAGCTGTTGATCTCAAAGGCCATTCATCTCTGGAGTATGAAATCCCAGGGTTGAGGTACCGGTTGGAGGCAGGCATGATGATGAAAGGGTTACCTGTGCTTGATACAGCCCAGCCACGTCGAAAGACTCGTTGCAGAAGTTCATCTCGTGGCTTGATCACCGTTTGAACAACCATCATGTCCTTGTCCTCATCCACCATGCCATAGTGTTGTTCACCTCCATGGGATGTTCTCCTTGTTGAAGTTGATGAAGGCTCAGCCACATCTCGCGCACTCACAACTCGAATGCTTGCCAGCACTGCCAGGGAATTCCTCTTGAACTGCAAAGGAATTGCTGCAGCTCCATCAGGGGAAACCAAATTCACCTTGGCGCCAGAAGAATTGCCAGGTGACAAAGTCCATCCACGGTGCAGCAAACGTCCTAAGGAAATCAAAGGGCTCTGCACTGATGCCACAATGAAGTCATCCTCAATGACAACCAAATCGTTGTTGAGGCCCTCACATTCCACCCTGGCTGACCTACGTCCAAAAGTTTTCAAACGCTCACCTTGTGCATCCTCAAGGATTGCATGTCCACCATGTTTTTCAATTCCACATCCACTGAGGTGGTAAGGCAAAAGGCTGATGTCAGCACCTGAATCCAAAACTACCAACTGGTCTGTCGCAGGCACCATTCTAATGTGGTACTTCTCCAAGTTCTCCATGCCATCAGATTCACCCTGGCTCCAATCCAGAGTTGTTGAAACCCCATGGTACCAATCCATGAGAGGATCTGATGCCCAAACGTGGTTACCTTCAGGGTCACCATCTTCCACATCCATCTTGTACCACATGGTGGGTGTCTGAAGTGACACCATCCTCACTGAGTACTCGTCATCATCCAAATCACTTCGAAGATCGAAGGTTTCTGGGTGCTCTGCTGGGGGCGTGGCCACGTGGTACATCTTCACAAGCCTCACAGATTTGGTTCCAGAGGTTGTGGCTTGGGAAGTCATCGATGTAGAGCTGGTTCTGCGTGTAGAGGTAGAGCCAGTAGTGCTTGCAACATCAACTGGTAGTTGTTCACCTCCACCATTGCCACCAGCATTGTTGACCTGGTTGACGTTCCCACCTTTCATAGGACATTCATTGCCCCAATGGCCATACTGGCCGCAAATTCTGCATTGATTGCGACCACTGCCACCACCGCTATATCCTTTTCCTTTGTGCTGTTTTCCCTTGTCTTTGCCTTTGTTGCCTTTCTTGCCTTTGCTCTTTGATTTTCCTTTTCTACCACCTTTGGATCCTCCACCACGACCTCCATAGGGAAATCCAAACCAACTGCCCTTCTTCCCTTTCTGACCGCTCTTGCCCTTGCTTTTGCCTTTCTGCCCAAACTGAACCTGGTCGATCTCCATGGGGGCAGGCCCTTGGTATGTTGAAGAGCTCGAGGAAGTGGGCTGATTCATCAGCTGGAGGTTCTTCAAGAAGTTGTCACCAGACCAAGCCTTGGTGTTTTTGTCCAGGAGGATCAGCTTGTCCTTCAACTTGGCATAGTCCATGGTGTCGTCCATGATCATCTCAAGGTGACGTCTGGTGCCACCATCTAAGCACCTGAGGACAGTGCTTACTGTCAGGTCGTCTGGCATGCGATGCCCAGCAGCAAGTTCATATTGGTCCAGCAAGGCATCAAACTGCAACAAATTCTCCAACATGGAGCGTTGCTGAGAAAAGCTTGGGTGCTGCATGATGGCCTGTCCAATGGCCAAAGCTCTGGGACGTGCTCGAGGTGCATATAGCTCCTTCAACCTATGCCAAACTGCAAAACCATTTCGATCACCTGAGTTGGCACGAACAATTTGTAGAGCAGGACCTTGAAGATAAGAGCTGAGGATGGAGTACAGCTTCCGAGCCAGGTCCTTCACATCCTCATCCAAAGACCCAAGAGTTGTCATAGTTTCCAACTGCTCCACATCTTGAATCAGCTCAGCATACCGGTTGTCACAAAATGTCAACCAATTCAAAAACTGTTCACGCCACATCGTGTACTTCACAGGGTCATCAGTGTCGAAGGTGTCAGGGCTCCTCAAAACCTTTGCACCATCTCCAAAACGAGGTTGGCTGTTTCTCCCTCCATTGCTAGTGAAGGTCTCCAGCATGGTGTTGGCCGTGTTTGCAGCCGTAGTTGCCGCTGTTGAAAGCTCCATGATGCGGCTCAAAAGGTCATTGGCCTGAGCAGCATCCATAGCCATGGTCTGGGTGTACATCAGGAGAAAGATGCATCCCTTCAGCTTCATGTAGGCATTCCATCGTGCTTGTAGATGTCCATTCCAACGTCTCGGCTTTCTGTAGGGACATCTGCATTGGCCCAAGTGGCTCTGCATAAGACGCTGTCGTCTCTTCCTCTCGTAGTTGAGCTTCTTCAGAATGATGACAAAGAAGAGCAGGAAGAGCGCACCTGAAGTCATTGGCCAGCAGGAAAACCATGTCATACTCAAAGACCTGAATGTGCACGTAGAAGTCCAAGCACATGCAACCAGCCAGCGCATAGAACTCCACAAAGCCTCATGCGGACATCCAATCAAATCGATCTGACAACACTACAATGAAAGCATCGTTCACCGATGCTACTCTACATAAGCCTGTGCAGTGACCCCAAAGGAAAAGGAGGGGAGCACATGGCAGCAAAAGGTGTCTAAAGGGGAGCTGCATGAATCAGTACCACCAAACAAATAAAGAAGAAGAAACGAGCGCCATGGTAGCGTCGTCCTGCTATACGCTCAGCAGAAAGCTAACGGACGGAAAATGGTGGTGGAGAGGCAGCCCCTGAATTATAGAAAGGAAAACAGAAAACCTAACTGGCCCCCGCAGCTCACTGCCAGCTCAAAGAATGTCACGAAGGTACCGCTCGGTGCAGGACACGGCCGAGTCGGTCAGAGAGCTTGGAAACGACGGCGAAGAGAGGCCCGTGCGCGGAAAGTGCGGATCGCAACGGCCAGCTCCTGCAGGAGGAGGCCATAGCAGACTGCGGGCTCCTCACCCGAGTGCGGAGCCGCCGCGTGGGCAACATGCTTCAGCACCTTCAGGGCCTCTGGCGCCCATGCGCCAGTGCATTCAGCCACCATGGGCATGAACTTGACCCCTTGCGCCGCGCACGCTTGAGCGGTGTCCAAGTGGAGTTCTTTGTGCTGAGCATAAGCAGCGGCTGCAGCCCCAGTGTGCCGACTCGCCTGAGCCAAGGTCTCCTGTCGCTGTGGCGCCGTGATGGCGAAATCTAAGGCAACAGGAGACCCGGCAAAGGCGGGCAGGTACACATCGGCTGGCCTTCGATTGGCTTGTCCGGTTTCTTCCGGGTTGCTGGGCAGGAGCAAGCCAGCCTTCTCGCGTTCAGGGCGAAGCCCGGCCCGTTGCGCCCAGCTGTGAACCAAGTCCCGCACCGCATGGTGTCGCTGAGTGCGTTCGCCTCCAGCCACACACATTCCAGCATGGTGGCTATGGTGATCGAGTACTGCATCGCACAAGGGGCACCAAGTGTCAGACTCGGCGTCGGGTATGCGAAGGCGCACTCGAAGTTCACAAATGTAAGGCAGCCGGTTCCATACGCGTGCGGCCAGCAGGCACGGCATTCAAGAAGGCGCGCCCGCCAATGGATGCTTCCGAGAGAAGAGTGGCTCGGCCAGTCACTGTGGCGTGCGCCAGCTGCTCATCCCATCCTGCCTGGTCTAACTTCTGGGACAAGGTCTTCTGAGTGCTGGCAACCGCGGTGTCCAAGGTGATGGCGTCAGCAGGGGCGAGCTGGGCATTGAAAGCAGTGAGGGCGGCAAGCACGTCAGTGCCAGCTCTGGCCTCTGGCAAGGAGAAGCTGGCGTCAAGCTCCTGGGCCGCATCTAAGGTGGAAGCCCACGATGTCAAGAAGGCAGCCGCTGCATGGTCGGAGGTGGAGCGAAGGCCCAGGCCCCCGTGAGCTAGCCCCAAAGCCGCCTGCTTCCACTGCAGAGCAGTAAGTTGAAGCCCGGTGAAGTCGCTGAAGCTGCGCTTCACCATGCCATCAAACATGTCCAACGCCATAGTTTGGGCAGCGGTGGGATTGCAACGCATGCTGTGGAGCATACGGGCAAACCCAGCACTGGCCCGTAGAAGGCGAAGGGCAACTTGGGGGTCTTCAAGCTCCCCCAGAGCGTCCAAAAGGTCGCCGGCTTTGGCCGCCCTGTCGGCTGTGTGGTTTCGAACAAAACCGCTGTCGCCCACCGCCGCACCCAAGAATTCGAAGTGGCGGCGGGCTCTGCAGGTGCCGGCTTCATCCCGTAGCAGTGCGTCAGGGAAGTGGCAATGCAGGGCGGCAATGTCAGCGGAGCCAACGGCGATAAGCTCGCACTTGCTTAAGTTCAAGCAGAGGCCAAGGGCGGCGGCTTTTGTTTCCACCGTGCGAAAGGCACGACCGACTGCCTCGATGTCGCCACCAAGAAAGCCGTCGTCCAGGTAGTGGACGGCAATGTCCAAACCCATGTGACGGAGCTCGTGGGCAAGCGGCTGCAAAGCTGAAGCAAAGAGAAGCGGGCCCAAGGGGTCGCCTTGTTGCACCCCACTCCTGGAGTCAACCACCCAATCGCCAAACTGCAGCCGAGTTGGCTGCCGGTAGCACCAAGTTGCCCAGCGGCTCAACAAGGGGAAGTGGCTCCCGGCAGCTGAAAGAACTGCTTCGCGGCTGACTGTATTGAAGGCATTGCTGAAGTCCAGTTTGACGGCAACCTTGTGGGAGGCAGTGCTGTGTCGGTGATACCAAGCTCGGACGGTGTGGATTGCTTTCTCCGCACCGCCCGGAACGGCAACACCGACCTGGGCCGGCCAGAAATGGCGACGGGCATCGTCACGAACCAGAGCCATCAAGCACTTCCCAGTGAGTCGCCGCAGGACTTCTCCAACGGCAATTGGCCGGACCCCCCCATGAGGCTTGGGAAGGGCAACGAGGCCAGCACCCGCCAGGACAGGGGCCACAAACTCTGGGGCCCTGCCTTGCGCAAGCAAGGTGAGGACGGCAGCAAGTTGGCTGGTGAAGGCATCGCTGCTCCCAGCAACACATGCTCCTTGCAGGTGTCGGACCCGCAGCCCAGTGGGGCCCGCAGCCGTTTCTGCAGGAAAAGCGCGCAAGCAACGCGCCACCAGGTCAGGCGCAAGCTCGGGAGCCAGCGGCAACTCGGTCATAGCAGGCACTTGGGGGTCCGGCCCGTTGGGGTGGAGGGCTCGGAGAGCAGTGGCTGTCGCGGAGGTTGGAGCACACAGCCCATTGGACAACAGAGCAGCACAGGCTTTACGATCAAACCCTTCACGGGCCAGGCTTATCGCCAAGGCTCGCCGCTTTTCAGGCGAGGGGGGGCCGGGGCTGGGGCCGGCACGGGTAGCGGGGCAAGATTCCCACAACGAGAGGCGCTCCCCCTCTTGCCATCGGTGCAAGCGGTCCAAGGTATAGGCCGCAACAGCCTTCCTGTGTTGTCGCCCCCCTCGGGCAGGGGCACAAAGCACACACTTCGGGAGCATAAGGAGCTCCCGCCAAGCTTTGTCATCATTGTGGTGCACGACGCTTGACAAGGCCCTGATGAGAACTTGGCTCCAAGTGTGGCGGGCAGCGCTGGGAACATGTCGCAAAGTTGCAACGCTGGCCGCCTGGATAGCAGTCAAGTCAGGGAGCTGCAAGCTGTCAGTGTCCATGGGCGCAGCGTGGTCAACAGCTGCAGCCCTCGCCTCTGGGCGACAGGTCGGGTGGACGCCGTGGCTTTGAGAAACACTGAGGCCACACACTGGGCAGCCCGTCCGGTTCTGCGACCGCAGCCAAGAGACGGGCACCTCCCCTTGCAATGTGCCGGCCAGGTGAGCGTCGACGTGGTGGCGCATGGAATTCCAACTCGCCCACCCGCGGGCGCGGGCTGGGTCTGAGCAAGGGCAGCTGGGCACCGGGCAGAAGACACGTGACGGCTGGGCAGCACTTGCACGGGGCGAGCGCTCGCGTGGAGGACGCTCACTGCCTACAGGCGTTCCAGGCATAGGGGGGCCGGGGTTCTGGGCCTCGCCAATGCGATGGCCTCTTGCTGGCCACCCGCTCCATCGGGTGTGTGTGGGCCGTGTGTGGGGCAACAGTCGCCCCCTGTGTTTTTGTAGGCGAGCTGTGCCCAGTGGTTTCCAAGGCAGAAGGGGGTCCCAAACAACACCGCTCGGAGACGGTTGGCCATTCAAAGTCTGTGTCAACGCCTTCCGTTTGGCGTTGGTTCAGGCACTTGAGCTCTGCAGGTGCTGGTGGAGGTGGAGGCACTGCCCGCGGAAGCAAGGGGGCCGAACCCCAGACAGAAAGCACCCGCCACAGAGTGCAAAGCACCCAAGCTAGGCCAAGCCAGCGCACCAGAGGTCCAAAGACATGGGGCCAGCCCAGCCCAGCCGAGGTGCTCCGCCCACCGTGGGCCATGGCACGTCAGCAGCAGCCAATGACCGCAGAGCAAAGCAGGCCAGCAACTGCCGGCCCGGGATGCGGAGAGGGGCGGCCCCCCGCCGCCTGACGTAGAAGAGCTGGGCAAGCAGGAGCCAGCCCGCGAAGCTCCGCAGTCGATGGCCACCGCTGGGGCTGCTGGTAGCGATGTGCCAGGCAGCAGCAACCGACCACGCGAGGAAGTCCGGCCAACTCCGACCCAAAGATGCGGAGAGGGGCAGCCCCCCGCCGCCTGACAAAGAGGAGCCGGGCAAGAGAAGGCCAGCCCCCCAAGCGCAGCAGTCAGCCCGCCGCCCAGCGCACCACTCCGCACTAGGTAATCAGAAATAGTCGCTTGAGCCAAATGCAGTGAGCTTGCCAAGCGCACCAATGTCGAGGTTCCAATCCTCGAAGCTGCAAGTGTCGAGGTTCCCATCCTCGAAGCTACAAGTTCCAAAGCTACCTCAGGGTCCCAAATCCCCGCAGGAGGGGTCACCTCCGTCTGAGGCACGATGTAAGGATTGTCCCTTTATTCCTTTAAGGTTTCCTGCCTTTGGCCTTATATGGCCAAAGGCTTTGGGGGTAACCTGGAGGTATTGTCTTCTTTGCTCGCTTGAACCTTATCAACCTTTTTACAAACAACCTTGGAACAAACCTGTTAACGTCCCTGTTGTCACGTGTGATGTTCACTATGCATTCGGTGTCATCATGTCTTTTTAATATAGACGATACAGTGCTGTGAACACTCCTCGGTTCTTATCAGTGTGACAACCCCCAATTCTTGACGTGTAACATTTTGGTTTAAGTGGTGGGAGGGTGGGACCCTCTTTAGTCGCGGCATCCCTGTTTTTCGTTTTTATGGGCTATCGCTTGCATCCGAAGCAAAGCGCAACTCCGGCCCTTGACGAGAGCGCGGTCGCTGATGTGGAGGCCTTACAGTTTAGACAGGGGACGGAGGCGGGGATGGCCTCTGGTGAAGCTGCAGCTGAAGACTTTTTTGGAGAAAATTCATTTTCTGACTTATTGATCCAGAATGATGACATGACGACTCATAGAAATGCAGAAATGAGTGTTTTTGGTTTTAGTGACAATGGAAATTGGTGTCCAGAAGAACGTGAGCCTGAAAGAGACTCAACAATGCCGGCAACACCATCTGACTTTGATTTGGATGGACAACAGGTTGCAGGACCAGGAGACTCAACAATGCTGCGTCCTGAGTTAGGGACGTCATCGGCTTCAATAAGTAATCAGCAGTCAGGACCTCAAGAAACCTTCTCAAATGTGAACCTTGACGCATGTGTTGCAACTGCCTCGATGTCATTGCCTGCATGGGCACCGAAGCCAATCTGGGACGAGGGCATCTGGTCAATCATTTTTGGGGATGGTATTCTTTTGAAAGGCGACTTTTGCTGTGTGGACTTTTACAAGCCAAAACCATCGACTTGTTTGGGTTCTTGGATGGAACAGATTGCAGAGTGCAAACGTGAACTGAAGAGGTCCTTGCCTGAAAATGTCAGTGACAGTTTTGCTGATGTTGTGAGACATGTTCCGGAAATCACTTGGCAAGAAGAGCGTGAATCCATGTTGCAATCTGCATTGAAGAGGTGGCTCGTTGTTGTGATTTCTTTCAACCGCAGTTCAACAGTTTGGCAACAGCTGGCAACTGAGAGTGAAGATGTGGGAAAGATTTCAGTGCTGAGTGACCTGTTTAGAGGTAAGGCTCCAGCCACGTTGCTGAAGCGTGTCAGAGCCGTGGAGAAGCTCTGCCAATTTTTGGGTGTGGGATGTTTCCCATCTGATGAGGCTAGCATCTACAAGTTCTTTCAACATGAAAGGTACGCTGGAGCACCGCCCTCCAGGTTGAGAAGCTATTTGGAAGCCATTGCATTCTGTTACCATGTTTTCTCCATGGCTGAACTTCAAGACGCGGTAACTAGCAAGAGGTTGCATGGGTGTACAATTGCAGACATACCTGGAGGTGTGACTCAGGCCTCCCCGCTGACTGTGGATGAATTATGCAGGTTGCACACCATTCTCCATGAGAGGTGCGACTGGACTGCAGTTTTCGTAGGAGCAGTGCTTTTTGTGACTTACTCTAGAGCACGGTGGGCAGATGCAATGCACAGCTGCTCATTCCTGAGTGACAAGGATGAACAAGGTGTTACAAGGTATTTGGAAGCGTCGTCAGCGGTCCACAAAACCATGCATGCTGCAATGTACAAGCATAGGATGCTGCCTTTGGTCGCACCGGCATGCGGTGTGGTGCAGAGACCTTGGGCTGACAGGTGGCTGCAGGTGAGAAAATCCTTGGGCATCGCTGAGCCCCCTGACCATCCACTCATGCCCGCGCCTTCAGCCCATGGTGTACCAACGATGAGGCCTTTGTCGGCGTCTGAAGCCGGTGGATGGCTCAGGAAGGTCTTATTTGGGAGAAAGGAGCCAGTGTCTGACAGAAGAGTGTCTGCCCACAGCATGAAGGCAACAATGCTTTCATTTGCAGCAAAGTTTGGATTAGACGCTGAAACAAGACTGCAACTGGCATATCATGTAGGAGGATTCAAACTCCTTCACACGTACAGCCGTGATGCAGCAGCGCAACCCTTGCTGCAACTCGAGAAGGTGCTGAAGGCGATCCGTGAAGAAACATTCCGGCCGGACTCAACGAGGAGTGGCAGATTTGTTTGCCAGCCAGTTGTAAAAGAGCCGGAGTTGTCAAGCTTCACAGTGGTGGACCTCACTGACGAGGTTGAGCTGACAGAAGTGAAACAGGAAGAAACTCAAATCAGCGATGAGGCCGCTTCGAGCTCCTCAGCTGAGAGCGAGGAGACCTTCCCAAAGAGCCAAGGTAGGCTGTTTAGGCCGCCTACACCACCGGATGGCTACGTCTTCTGGCAGCACCGAAAACTCAGAACGCTTCACCTTGCGTTGCCTGAGTATAGAAGAGTTTTCATGTGTAACCGGATGGTAGGGCCTTTGCATACCCGGGAGAATATGGTCATAAGATATGACACACCGGTTTGCCGACACTGTGCACAGGCTGTGAAGGAGTGAAAATAGAAGTTGAGATCGAGCTAAGCCAGCTTGAGCTTGAACTTGCATTTTTCTTCCAACCGCGGTTTGTAATTATGAAATACATGTGATCAGGAGGTCAGAAATCTCTGTTATTTCTTTCCAGAGAGCTGCAGTTGCACCACTGGGCCATGGAAGCTTTGTCAATACATTTCATTTCACCTGGAAGAGTTGGCATGATGTTATGACACGCAACTCACCAGCATGCATGCCCGCAGCCCATTTTTGGACGGAGTGCAAAATAGTGGATATCACTGTTGGCCACGTTTTCTTTTGAGAGTTGAAACATTATCATTCTGCATTGAACTCATTGGGATAGATGAATGCAACTCGAATCTGAACTGCTTGAGTTACCTTCTTTCTTTTATACTCTACTTCCCAGTTGATAGTGCAGCTCTTTTGCCATCATGAGCATCGTTGACAGTGCAGCAGCCTTTGAGCGGAAATGCAAAGAGCTGAGAGGAGGAGATGACCTCTTCGTTGGATTGAGCGCCTTGGGAGTGACAGATTTCAGTACACTTGCTTTCACCCTGGGTACGCCACAAAAGGCGCCTACGGATGAGCAGTTCGAAGATTTGGGAGGTAAGGTCTTCCAAACCCCTACATTGGGCCAATTGGCATTGCTCAGGAAGCTTCATTTTGAAGCTACAACTCTTATGGTAGCGTCGATCAACGAGCAAGTGAAAACGGATACATCAGACCCCACCAGCTTGGCCAAAAGACTACCTGCAGCTGAGAAGCAATCACGTTTGGAGATTCAGATGAAGAGGCTGACAGGATTGAAGATAGCTGGAGAGTTGGCACCCAGCCACCAACTGCTGGATGTCACAAATGCCATGGTAGAGTCAGGGGTTCTGACATGGATAGCGCCGTCAAAATGCTCAAAGAGAGACGATGAGATTCAAGCAAACATCAAACCCGCAGCCTCTACGCTACAGATTGAACAATCTACCTTGCGAGTTGCCCAGGTGCCAGTAGCAACAACAGCAGATGTGGGCGATGCAGGCAATGGACCAATGCAAGCTTTTGGACTGGGCCTATCACGAGGAATGGGTGCAGTGGCTTCTCCAAACCTTAACCAAAGATGTACCAGCAGGATTTGCTGCGGTCAAACTGGACCAGCTCTTACGAGCAGACAAAGAGCTTTGGACCATCTTAGCACAACAGCAATCAAAGTCTTTGAAGCCAGTCAATGACCAGCCGGCTCTGAATGATGACTTCAAGAAGCTGACCACAGACCCAAGAGTCACCATGCTGATTCTGCCTTTGCCTACAACAGGTCCGAAAGTCCAGCAGCCGGTGCAGCCTAAGAGGACCGATCCTCCAAAAACGGGAGGAAACCCTACAACACCTCCCAACAAAAAGAGGAAGATCACCAGAGCTGAGAAGAACTGCCCCGAGGAATTGAAGAAATACACGTTGAGGCTGGAAGGCAAGGGCAACATTTGCTGGAATTTCAATATGGCATGTGGATGCTCAAACAGCACTACAGGTACCCCAGCCAAATGCATGCGAGGTTTCCACGTATGTGCTCACTGTCATCGCCCAGGGCACAGTGTGACTACATGCCGGTCTAAGCCGGCCTGACTAGCGGACCTTGGAGACCAGAAGCGGCCTGCTGCTAGCGTCACCGAAGAAGTGAACGCTGCACCAGTTGGTACAACACAACCGGTTGAACCTGAGCCGCCTAATTCACAATTTTCCTTTACAACTTGTGGTCAGCCACAACCAGTGCCACGCAGTTTTTCAGGTTTGACTGTGGATGAATTGCTTGTGATAGAAGTCTGTGCGGGATCGGCACGTTTGACCAGGACTTGCCGAAAACTTGGCATACGTGGCATGGCAATCGACAAAACAACGAGCAGGAGCTGTGGCGTTGACATCATGACACTGGACCTAACAGTGCCTTCACAACTGCAACTATTGCTGGACATCATTGTGGCCGAAAGAGACCGGCTGCTCATGGTGTTCATAGCACCCCCTTGTGGAACTGCAAGTCGAGCCAGAGGGAGACCAGTAAAGAGCTCACTGCTGAGAGGGCGACCGGCACCTCAACCGCTGCGAACCGATGAGCAGCCCGATGGGAAAGACAGCTTGAAAGGTATGGACAAATTAAAAACAGAACTGGCGAACCAACTGTATGCAGCCATCACTGAGGTTATCCTGTTAGCCTGCAGCATTGACGTCTGCGTCGTCGTAGAGAATCCTGCGAATAGCCTTTACTGGAAAACAAGCTTTGCATTAAAATTTTTGAATACAATCCAAGGAGTCTTTACAGACTTCCACAACTGCTGTCATGGAGGAGGTCGGGACAAACTCACACGTTTCTGGAGCAACAAGACGTGGATGGAACCACTGGGTTTGAAATGCGATGGATCTCATTTGCACCAGAGTTGGAAACCCCGTATTCAAGATGGCAAACTGGTTTTCCCAACAGCTGAAGAGGCAGCTTACCCTTGGATGCTTTGTACACGTATAGCCAACATTGCAATTCAGATGGGAAAACAGTTGGGAGCTGTCATTCATGACAACCTTGACTCCCAAGCCAAACAGCCTGAATTTTCCATGTTGAACCGATACATTTTTGGAGCCCTGCCAAGGTCCACAAAACTCCGACCTCTCGTGGCTGAATTTGCTAAATTCCATTTTGTGGTGACACCGGCACAACATGTAGACCATGTCCAGGCAGTTTTACAACTGTGCCCTAAGGGCTCAAAAGTGCTGTCCCGCAGACTCTGGAAGTGGGGAGAATTTCGGGCGGAACAATTTGCAGGAAAATGTCAATTTTTGGGTCTGACGGAGCAAGAACTGTCGGAGGATACAACAGTGGAATGCCACCACGTGGGAACGCCACACGAGCCACTGGATTTCCTGAGAGAAGCAGTAGCTGCTGGTCACCCAAAAGACTTGAGGAGACATGTTGACCCTGCACTGCATGAAGTTATTTTGGATAATTTTCATAGGCCCCCTCACCTCCTGGCACAACGTCGTATTAAATTCTTGAAGAAATATACCGAACTGGCGCAACAATGTAAGCCAGAAGAATTGAAGCTGCGATTGAAAATGCCAGCATACCTACGACAGACATTGGTGGGGAAACGCTTGATTTTATTTGGACGAATGTTGTCTGACCTTGGTTTTCCAGACAAACGCCTTGTCGAAGACATTGCTTCAGGTTTTAAGTTGAGTGGATGGATGCCAGATTCTGAACTCTTCCCACGTCAGGTTAAGAGCCCAACCTTGACCCAGGAGGCACTGCGAAAATCCACAAGTTCTTTTAACGACAAAGTCTTCAAGCAGATGCAAATCAGACAAGAAGCAGAACTGGAACAAGACACCTGGAACGAGACGGAACACGAGTTGCAGCAAGGTTGGATCTGGGAAGATGAATCAAGAGACTGGACAGGAAAAGCAGTGGCAAGGCGTTTTGGGTTGAAACAAAGCAACAAGACCAGGGTGATAGATGATTGTACAATCTGTGGACTTAACCTTACGGTTGGCACGAAGGAGAAATTTGCGTTGCACAGCATCGACCAATTGTGCAGCATGGTGGACCACAGTTTCGAACTTGCTGGAGGAGAACATTGCCCCATATTGGGGCGCACCTTTGACCTGAAATCGGCGTACAAACAGTTTGGACTTTGTGAAGCTGACAGAGAGCTGCTGAGAATAGCAGTTAATAAGCCCGGAGATCCAGACCCAGTCTTGCTTGGACTCAATGCGTTGCCCTTTGGGGCGGTTGGATCGGTGGCAGGTTTCCTTAGAATATCATTTGCCGTCTGGTGGATTGGCGTCTTTGGTTTGGGAATTGCCTGGACGGCATACTTCGACGATTATTCAACTCTTACGAGGCCTGAACTGGAGGCCAGCACCAACTGGTCAGTGAAAATGCTTTTCGAGCTAATTGGACTGACATACGCGCAAGACGGGCCAAAAGCTCCTCCCTTCAGCAATGTTTTCAAGATGTTGGGGTTGGTAGTAGATTTGAGAAATGCCACCTCCAAAGCCTTCTTAGTTTCCCATACCGAAGAGAGGAGAAACGAGTTGCAACAAAGCCTCGAAGCCATAATTCAAAAAGGCGATCTCACGCAGAAGGAAGCGGAGAGAATCAGAGGGCGAATGCTTTTCTTTGAGTGTTTCGTTTTTGGCAGGGTAGCCAATCTGGACTTGAAGCTGTTCGGAGACCTTTGTAGAGTTGGGCGAACTACTAGCAGACTGTCTGCAGAAGAGATTCAGGTAGTACAGCGCCTATGTCAAAGAGTCCATACCGGTACAGCGATACCCATGGGAATCCAAAATCTGGAAACATGGCTCATCTTTACAGATGGAGCCTGCGAAGGAGATGTACCATCAGGTAGCATAGGAGGCGTTTTGGTAGCTCCCAATCACCGGGTGGTACATCACTTCGGGTGCCTAGCACCAGACAATGTCATGTCCTTGTTGCTTGCACATTCAAGCCACCCCATACATGAGTTGGAGATGATCCCCATTCTTGTCTCCTTACAACTTTGGAGGAACCTCTTACAAGGCTGCCAGGTTGTCCATTATATAGATAATGAGTCGGTGCGCATGGCCTTGCTCAGAGGTAGTGGCGAAACTCCAGTTGCGAGAATGGTAGCAAACTCCATAATGGTTGCCGAGTTCGAAAGCAGAACCAAGTCTTGGTATGCTAGAGTTGCAAGCCACAGCAACATAGCAGACGCACCGAGCCGCTTAGACTTCGATCAGTTGCAGTCCCTTCATAGTACCTTTTGTGCGGTGGACTGGAACGTTGTGCTCATGAGTTGCACTCCTCAGACCGGGGGATGAAGACGGAACTCAGAGCTGACTTGTCCCCGCTGAAAAAGGAAGGCTGCTGATTTATTTTGGAGTGGATTGTTTGAAACCAATTTTTGGTGTGGATCGAACGGCGACGGCGTGCGTATCTTTTTTTTTTAATGAATATACATATACTATGATAAGATAGTATGTGTATCCTCTATTTCATCCAGCGACGGGGTGCGTTAGTTGTTTGTTGGTTGTTTGGTTAAGCGAGCTCTTTCCTCCTTGTTCCCCCTTTTAACCTTTAGGAATAAGGGTCACCTCCGTCTGAGGCACGATGTAAGGATTGTCCCTTTATTCCTTTAAGGTTTCCTGCCTTTGGCCTTATATGGCCAAAGGCTTTGGGGGTAACCTGGAGGTATTGTCTTCTTTGCTCGCTTGAACCTTATCAACCTTTTTACAAACAACCTTGGAACAAACCTGTTAACGTCCCTGTTGTCACGTGATGTTCACTATGCATTCGGTGTCATCATGTCTTTTTAATATAGACGATACAGTGCTGTGAACACTCCTCGGTTCTTATCAGTGTGACAACCCTCAATTCTTGACGTGTAACATTTTGGTTTAAGTGGTGGGAGGGTGGGACCCTCTTTAGTCGCGGCATCCCTGTTTTTCGTTTTCCCACCCTAAACCTTCGGTTTTTCCCCGTCCCTGAGGGATGCCTAACCCTACCGTCGATGAAGACGGAACTCAGAGCTGACTTGTCCCCGCTGAAAAAGGAAGGCTGCTGATTTATTTTGGAGTGGATTGTTTGAAACCAATTTTTGGTGTGGATCGAACGGCGACGGCGTGCGTATCTTTTTTTTAATGAATATACATATACTATGATAAGATAGTATGTGTATCCTCTATTTCATCCAGCGACGGGGTGCGTTAGTTGTTTGTTGGTTGTTTGGTTAAGCGAGCTCTTTCCTCCTTGTTCCCCCTTTTAACCTTTAGGAATAATGGTTCCAATCCACCTGTCGATGGTTCCAATCCATCCCATACTGCAGCACTGAGAGTTCCAGGCGCAACCACAAGACTCAAAGATCGTCTCCATGTAGTCCTCGTAGACCACCAGCGCCTCAGAGTAGGCACTTTCCATTTCACCAAAGCCAGCAAGGTCTTCAGCTTCTTCAGCTTCCCATTTCAGGTCTCTCCTGCTAGAAGTTTCCGAAGCGCTATTGGGCTCATCCATGACATAGGGGGACGCCAGATCCACATAGTCCAAGGCAATCCCATGTCCATCGAATTGATGGTGGTGATTGCCAGTTGTCATCTTTGGCAGTAGGATCAGCAGCGCCACCACCAACACCGCGATCTTCCCATGCGTCGCCCATTTGGGCTCCGCTGCCATGTTGAATGGCGGAGCACAGCAAATGCGTTCCTTTTCTCCAGAGCCACTTGTAGCGGCGTCCATCTGCATATGTTATGCAGTAACCTGTGCAATTCCTGCATGACACTTCTATGATTTGTGCGTGTCATCCATGCTGCGGTGCAGGCATGGATAAGATCTAACAGCCTGGCATCAGCACCAAGAACATGGTACCGTGAAGTATGCCGGCGCCTCAAGACTATCAACTTTACACAGCATAGCCTTGACCACCTCTTGTTTTACAAGCGTGAGGGAGACAAGCTCCTTGCCATTTGCATCGTCTACGTTGACGATGTTCTTCTTTCCTGCCGTGAGGACTACAAGAAGGAAGAGTTCTATGACCTTTTCAAATTGGGCAGTGAGAAAGAGCTCACGCTCACCGAACCTCTTGAGTTCAAGGGCAAGGAGATCAGTTTGATCGAGCAAGACGGCAAGTTCAACCTGAAAGTGACACAAAAACGCTTCATCAAGAACACCGAGCCTGGCAAGGTAGCTCGAGGAAGAATCGCTGAAGGTCCACCGTTGAAGAACAAACAGAGTTCAGAAGCGTCACCGGTTCAATCCAATGGCTTGCTGGACAGACTCGACCTGAAGTTGGAGCATGGGTTTCATTGGCCAACAAGGGCAAGGACACGAACCCAGCTGATCTTGCCCAGCTTTACCAGACGCTGGACTATATCCGGGAGAATCCCGACGCTGGCCTCCTCTTCCAGGACGTTGCTGTGAATAAGGCGACAACGATCATTGGCTATGCGGACAGTTCCTGGGCAAATGCCGCGAAGTGTGCATCGCAGCAGGGGTCCATCGTGATGATGACCACACCACACTGCACCCAGGTCCCAACCAAGGCCAACGTGATCGACTGGCGCAGCAACAGATCCGCTCGAATCTGCCGTTCGACACTTGCGGCAGAAGCAATCGCCTGCGATGACTGCGTGGATCGAGCCTACTTTGTCAATGAAGATTTGACAGAAATCCTCACTGGCGTTCCTCCACATAAGGATTCTGAGAAGTGGAAGCTCCAGCAGCTGCAGGTGACTGACTGCCGTAGCTTGTTTGATGCTGTGTCGGCAGAGAACCCACGTACCACCGAAAAACGGACGTATGTGGATATTCGCAGCATCCAAGAATTCATTGGTGTCGAAACCATTTTTTGGACACCTACGCATTTGATGTTTGCAGATGGCCTCACTAAAGCCACTGAGGCGCTCAGGGAAGCTTTTGCCAAGTGGTTGCAACGGCCATATGTTCAACTCAAAGAAACATCCATGAAAGAAAGTATAACCGGTGACAATTACCAGCACTTGAAGATCACATGATTCATGGATGTCGCATTTCACCACCTGAGCTGAAGGATCATCCGTTGGCCGCAGGTGCGCCTGGGCCCGAGCTTTCATAGCAAAAAGAACCCTGCAGTGCGTTTGCAAGCACTTCAGTGAGACTTAATATCACTTAACTTATAACTAGGGGAGCACCACCTTGTGTTCGAAGAGGGCGAATGGTTCAAGCGCTGCAGCGAGCTGAATAGTCCGCTTGGCAAGGTGTTCAAGAAGTTCAAGTCCATGTTGAGACCTCAGAAACCTCAGAGACCAATGGTGCAGCCTGGCTTCCCATTTGGGAAGTTCCACCAATGGACGAAATAGGAAGGAGAAAGTAACAAGAAAATAGGGAACTGCGGAAAGCTAGACAATACAAACATGTAAGAACATACAAGAACATAGGGAGGTAGCAGCAATCACGATATTTAGGGAGGAAATAGGGAGATAATCTTACAGAGATAACATGTTATACGATCCAACACGTTTTTTTTCATTGGTAAACCATGGGAAACCAATGGTGTTGGGGCCCCCCCAAGCTTGAGAAACACCAAGTTTGCTACGCAAAGACATGCAAAGAGCTCCTCTCAGTGCCCCCTTGTTACCCGGTGACCCGGACAGCCCAGCTTTGTTGAGGCTTGGTGGATGTATGAAGTTCACATTATCTGGCGGTGGTGCCATCTCCCCTGATGTTCAGGTTGGGGAAAATCATCCAACTGCTGAAGGATTTCCTAGCGGTTTCCTCGTCAGGAATGGGTGTGGACAGCCTTTGGCTGTCCTCTCATTCAAGGTTATGGTTGGATGCTTAGGGATGCGAGGCAATAGAAAAGTTCTGCCAAGTTGTCGTTGAATTTGAGTTCCCCAATTTCCGGGTTTCCAAGTGATCTATTTGTGTGTTGCTCGATGTTTGAACTATCTTGCATGTGGGAAGAGGCAAGGCAGATCCTGCCCATCAGCCATCAGGCCTTACAGAGACCTGCGGTGGCGCTGTGTCCGCTCCGCCTTGTTTTGCCGTGAACATATCGTGGTTTTCCAACAGCAATGGGTGACTGACTGCGGGAGAACCGCCTGAGAAGCGCCTGACTGCCAGGCTTCAAAAGCCGCTGGCAGATCCATCCGTTGGATTCGTTGGATCCGTCCTGTCGTCCGTCGAACTGACACTTCACTCAGAGTACGAGCACCTCAGATCCATCAGATCCGAGGCCAGACTCAATTTCCGGCAGTTTCAGAATGTTTCAGATGCCTGACCCAGTATATCATTGATCAATATGTTATACCATTTTGATCCATTTTGCCAATATTTTGCCTATGTTTTTTCATAGCCGTTGGGGGCTCCATCCCCACATTGATGGAGAAACCAGGCCAGAGATCACCGACAACGATGGCAAGCCCTACCTTTGTGCAGACAAGGCCTGGACCAACGTGCTTTTCCCCGGGGATTCGACAGGAAATTGGGGATTGACATCATCATCATCATCATCAATAATTCATGACCTGGGAATCCCTATAAACCAACCAATGATAGGTTTTGAGCACTGCTTAAATCGCTAGGATGATGCTTGGATGGTCGTGCACCAAAATGTGCTATTGATGGAGAGTTCATCGCTGTGGGATTCAGCAAAATCCCGGTAGCTGATGAAGCTTCTTGGTAGGTGCATTCAGATGGCTCCGCCTGCTGCGGTCGGGGAGAAATTTGGATGAGAGGCGGCACCAGAATTGGAAGTTGGAGGAAGCAGCGAGACAAAGAAAGAACACAGACAGATAACACAGAAAAAATGGTTGAAGAGGGCTTGCTTGCAACATGAAGAAGGAAAAGGAGCACTGAACAACTTTGGAGAGTGCTGTGGATAGTACTTGGTAAAACTCCCTGCGGTCAGGTAATTCCATCGGTTCTGGCTATTACAAGCTGCCAGAGCAGACAGCAGCTTGGCGATGAGAGCTGAAGAAAAGATGGCTTTGGTTTTGCCAATTTTTCTGATGTGTGTTTCAAATGTTGATCAAATGTTGTGTTTTTATGTATTTTTTAAAATGATGTGTGTTTTTGCATCATGTTTTTTTCCATAGATCCAACGAGGCAGCAGACTTCGACAAAGACGGCTGGCACAGGGCCTTGGACGTTGAGCCCTTTCGCTATTTCAACGGGCCGTTGGGCCGCGGTGTTGAGGTTCCACTCTGGAGACATTGGGCTGATCACGCCCGAAGGTGTGGTTCTAGACCCCGAAGTTTGATAATAAAGATGCTGTGTCGTCATATCATATACTTTATGTTGATTTCCGTATACAAAAAGTTGTCCTTGTGGGGTATCACCATTCACCCCATTTTTTCTTCTACACCCAAGTGCCGTGCAGCGAATCAGTGACATGCTGTTCACTCTTGGAGGAAAAGTCAAGATCATCGATCGCAAGAAGAATCTTGTTGCAGTCTCAGCCGCTGCCAACTATATACCATATATTTATCCAATATATCTATCTATATAATTCTATAAGATTCTGTATATATCTATCCCATGGTTGTACTATAATATAGCCATAACATGAGTAACTTTGGAATCTTCACTACCCCTCGATTCGCTTTCCGTGGCTTTCCGTGTTTCCAGGTGAAGCTGAAAGGTGGCGAATACGCTGCCTTGGAGCTGATCAATGTGACCTACAACAATCATGAACTCATCAACGCGGATGTTGGAGGTCAGGGTGATCATAGATTCTATAGATCCTGCTTGAAAGCATGGCCGATCAGCGCCGATCAGCGCCGATCAGCCCAAAATTCATGAGACCTAGACCGATTTCTTGCGTCGATCCAAGAAAAATGATGTTTTCACCTGTTGCCCAGTTGCCCGGAGCAGCTCCAGATGCCTGGTTTTGTTGTGCCTCCTTTGCAGGTGTGTGCTCTTTTGCAAGCCATGAAATCGATCGGCCCGTCCTGCTTGCTCAGTGCAACTTGGCTGCGCATCGTTGCTGTCAGGTGCAATAAAGGGGGGGCAAAGCTTCTTGGCGGTTGAGGTTACAAATGGATATAACATGATGGTGATAAGCCCTCCATCAGTTGTGATATAACATGATATAACCCCTTTAATTTATTGAATAGTCATATATCTTATGTCAGATGTCATCCACATCACTATCGAAACCCCAAGGCAAGAAGAAGGAGCTCTTAGCTTTGGCTGCTGCGAATGGCGTTGGTGAACCCAGCATGGCTCGATAACTTCGAGAGTTGCTGATGGCTGACTTTTTGAGGTCACCGGGAAAGATGATGATGCTCTTTGCAAAGACCCCAAGGCCAGGGCTAGGTTCAAGAATTTCTTATGGTTTCTCTGAGAATAGGATCTTTTGATATATGTTGTGCTATCCCCAATTCCAATAGATTATGAAGATTATCTGTATGTTCTGTATGAAAATTGATGAAAAGGGGTCTCCCCCATTGACAAACCACTGCCGTGGACAGCTCGCCATCATCACTTCTCTTATCAAACCATGAACGCGTCGTAATCCTGGGTGTGTGTTATGGTCAATTTCTGAAAAATGCGATTCTGATGTTTTGCCCATGTTCTTAGATTTACTTTGCTGAGGTTTATTTTCACTACTTGAGGAATCTATAGGGAATATAGGGAATATGTCTTATTTTTTGGTGGTTCCATAAGCAAATCACAGGTCATGGCAGCTGTTAAGACTGCTCTGGATGCAGTGGCGAAGGCAAGAGTGGGATGTGATACCTCCATGGGAAAGGGGAATGGTACTGGCAAATTTAAGGATCCCCATCTTTTTTAATATATTATATATACATATACCATATTATGGCATGTACCAATAATGGTGGGATAATCAAAAGCCATAATATCCCAATGGTAAAGATAATGAGCTGTATGTGTCATTAATATGATATGTAACCCTAATATATGTAATAACCGAAATATGTGGTTTCCACCCGTATTCCATGGGATCACGGTAGTCTCCCAGGGAGGCACATAAGCTTCCGGCCTTGATGCAAGCGATTGCAGTGATGCCTGTGTTGGAGCCATGGACCCCGGGAAGTTCGGCTCCTGGGGAACTCTTCGGCTGTTGCGGCTGTTGCGTGTTCAATGGATTGGTTTTCTTGGGAAAATCTTAACCGGAGACCAAGGTTTTTACCATGAAATATATGGGTTTCCTGTAAATTTTCCCATCATCCAATTCTATGAGACTTAGAACAATAGAGATGACCAGATGGAAAATGGTATTCAATGTTGTCTTGGAATGTTTGTCCGGCCTCCGAGTTTGTTTGCCACAGGACAGCCGATAATGGTTGTCTGACTGCCACATCTAAGCTTTGAGCCCAGTTATTGGAGGGTATGGTAGTTATGCATTGCTCACCTTTGCAAGATGGCAACATGGATAGCAAAGAACATTCAAATGCGATCCGATACGAAGGTTGTAGGATTGACATCCAATCTTCAGAAAATGTCATGGTCAACCCACCTCTCAAAGAGGTCTTAGCATTTCAATCCATGTAACATATCATTTGATGATGTTTTGTGAGGTCCAAAGCCCTAATCACCAAAGTTCTCGTGCAGCAACCTGGTATAGGTTGGTGGCCAAGAAGATTTACCAGCTCCATGAAAAGGCCCGGAGCAGCGCACGGAGCAGCTGGCTATGGTAATATCCTGCGGCCATGGAAAGTGGCCGTGGACTTTTGTTGCTCATCTATACTTTGGGTCATTTTCCATGGCCATGTGAAATGACCAGAGGGCAACTTAAATAATTTTTAGTATAGAGGTTTTCAAAGTCACGAGAAATCCAAATGTTCATCATGTTCATCGGTCTTTTCCATCCAACCGTCCAGCTATTGGGGATTTTTCAGACAGGACCTGGACGTGTTGAAGCCGATGGCCATGAAGGGATGATTCGGCATTGATTTGCACAGCCTCGATTGGACGAAGAAAAATGCAGATTTCATGGAGATGGTCCATTTGGATTGGTCCTGATATTCTACCATCTGGTTATTTAACATAGCCATGGTATAGATGGCCCATAGAAATAGATGGTAATAGCATGGTGATTTTCCATGGCTATGTTAAACAACCAGATGGTAAGGATATGCGGATTTCTGATTTCGCGGGTATTTTCAAGAATAAACGAGAACAATATATCAATGAACGTTAGGTAATTGAAATAGGGTGTCTTAAGGGTTTCTTGAAGGTTTCATTTATATAGGGTTTCTTTAGGGTTAGAGTTTCATTTAGGTTTCTTCAGAGTTTATTTAGGGTTTCTTTCAGGTTTCTTTAGTTAGGGTTTCTTTAAGGTTTCTTTAGGGTTTCATTTGGGGTTTCTTTAGGGTGTGGAGTGTGAAGTGGAGAGTGTGAAGCGTGGAGTGGAGAGTGTAAGTGTGGAGTGTGGAGTGGAGATTGTGAAGTGTGGAGTGTGGAGTCTGGGGTGTGATTGCGCAGTGATTGCGAGGTGTGAAGTGTGGAGTTTGAAGTGTGGAGTGTGAAGTGGAGAGTGTGCATTGTGGAGTGCGGAGTGTGAAGTGTGGAGTGGAGAGTGTGAAGTGTGAAGTGTGATGTGGGAAGTGTGGAGTGGGGGGCGTGAAGTGTGGAGTCTGAAGTTTGGAGTGTGAAGTGTGGAGTGTGGAGTGTGATGTTGGATGGAGGAGTTTGGTGTGGAGTGTGGAGTGTGAAGCGTGGAGTGGAGAGTGAAGTGTGGAGTGGAGACTGTGAAGTGGCACGAGTCGAATGTGTGAAGTGTGGAGTGTGATGTGGGAAGTGTGGAGTGTGAAGCGTGGAGTGGAGAGTGTGAAGTGCGGAGTGCGAAGTGTGGGGTGCTTCTCCAAACAGTTTGTATGCAGTTAGGCATCTTATTCAATATTCCAACTTGCAGAGAGCCCAACTTTTGCGTCGTCTCCAAACGGAATTGAAGCGGAGGACTTGCATCGTCTCCCATTTGTCACTTGCTCTTCCTTCTTGTGGTTGCCTGGGGCGCCCACTTCGGACTGGCTGCCTTGGTCCCAAAATTGCCCCCAATGTGTTTCTACGCTGTCTGTACTTCTCCATTTGTGTTGTCTCCACTGGTCTTGGTGCTTCACACTGGCCCCAGGAAAGGGAATTGTATCTCACCATTTGTCTGTCTCATCACTGCGCTGTGTATTTTGCTTTCCTTCTTGTGGCTACTTTGGGACGAAGGTTTTCTCGTCTTTCCTATCCGTCCTATCCCCCTCTCCACTCCCATGACCGCCCTGGGTCTGTTTTCTTTCCAACAGGTCTCTCCACTTGGCTCTCCATTTGTCTCCCTTCGTGTGGGGGCTTTGCGACGGAGGAATTCCTACGTCTTTCATGTTTCGAACGATATCATTCGTTGTCCCTTATGGCCGCAATGCTACTGATATGTCATTTGATTGTCATCATTGGTTGTCGCGTTTCCAATATGTTTTCTGCGAAGTAAATTTTCAAGAAGCAAGACCCGGGGGCATTTGGATCATTCGTGTTTCGAGCACCGTGATGGACCTGGAAGTTTTGGCTTTCAGCATTATTTTTGGCCGTGTGACACGTTTTGACACTGATGGAGGTGATGGAACCTGATGAGTTTTTTTGCGATCAGATTGGACTCGTAGCAGTTCAGGTGTGATGAGCCACTTGGGCATCCGTGTGTTTTATGTAGCCTGATTCAGGCACAAGACGAGGCGGAAGACGAGCCATGTTTTGCATCCAACATGCTAGCCTGTTGAAACCCAATTATGTGTTTTCCTTGCCATTAGCATTTCCTCCAAAGAGAAACCGTGTTGATGCAGCCCTCTCTCTTGAAGCCGCGACGCTTTTGCTTCGCATCTTTCGTCCATTTTGTGGCTACCTATATTCAAAAAACAGCAGCTGTCAGATATCCCTTGCCCGCGCAATTTTACCTTTCTTCAGCTGGAGTTCCACCAGGTTTCAGATGAAAGGGTCCGACATCTCCCGCCTCGATCTCGCGGATCTTGTTCAGACAGACTGCTGTGAACAGCCGTGTCGAAGTGATCGGGACAGTAGTTTGCTGATTTGAGTGTATTTTCGAATGCCTTGAAGCTGCTAAACATCTCAGAACTTTGGCCTCGTATCACAACGCATGATTTGTTTACATCATTCCGCACGCAGTTCTAGCAACTCCCACGGCAGCAATGTTTAGAGATATTTCTCCATGAAACCAATTTCGTTTCTGAATGGTTGTGCAGATACTGCAAGTTAGCCTTCAGGCATCCCCATTGGCAACTTTTCTTCAATGTTTTGGCCAGCGATGTGTAGTAACAAGGGATTCAGGCGATTCAGGGGTTTCAAAAGGGTCCGCGCGCCCGGCGCGCCCGCGCAGCACAAGTTGCGTGGTTTTCAGATTCAGGCTTCCGAAATCTTCCGAACTGGGTCGCCAGGGATCTGGAACGTGCTGCAAACCGTTGACTCTGAGCATTTGGGCATTTGTTTGGGCCCCTCGCAGGCTCTCTACGACTGAGTGTGCAACCTTGTCAGATTTCCCGCTATTTGTTGGGGCGTAACACCTGGCAATGATATCAGCTTCCGCACGCACGGGGTGTTGATGAACTGTTGCATGTCATAAAATGCAATTGAAATTGTTGCAGGCCTGTTTTTGATCAAAAAGAGTCCAAGTCACATATTTTCCACCTACTAGTAGGTAAGAGCAGCAGGTTTGTCACCCCATTTGAATGGGTAGTCTTTTTTCCAGGAAGACTGCTTCCATCCAGATTTTGGCCATTGAATTCAGATCCCACTTTGCAGAACGATCAATTTACGATATTTACGGGGTCAGAGATTTGCGGTTCTGATTTGCAGTAGCAGAGGTATGGGTGCTAGATGCGGGTTGTGTCCCGGGCTATGTTGCCTGGTCACCCCGGGCCTGGCACTGTTTGCCGAAGCCATAGAAGTGACGCACAGAGGCCAAATGCACTGCGTTCAAACCAATCTAACTGAGGTGCAGGTGATAGCCTTCCAAAAGTATCGGCAATATTCAAGCATCTCTTGCTTCAAGAGCCCTATTAGTTCATTTAGTTGATGGAAAGGCGGTTTTTATTATTACGGGGGAACCCTAATAGTAAATTTAAAACCCTGTTACGCCTGAACTAGCACATTGAAACCTATTCATTATAGGATATGCGTTCGGGCGCAAAACTACTTGCAGTACGCTGTACTTGGTCCTGGAAGCTGACAGCAAAAATTGGAACAATGATAGACAAAAATGACTCAATCAGAACGAGCTGAAGGAGTTCAGCCCTGGTTGGTCCTCAGTCCTTAAAAACTTGTTGCCGCACACATTTGCGCCACCTCAGACCACATTGTTCATAGTTCATAGGTGCTTTAAGAGGCAGTCCTGCAACATGCACCTTATCGAAGTCTTTCAGCTCTGTTGAAGCTGTCCTACATGCGTAATCCCTGCAGACGTACCACGTTCAGGGTCTGCGAGACAGCCTGCAAGTTCTGGCTTTTGCGTCACAAGAGGTCTCTAGAAGGCCCAGGGTTTGATCCCTACCCTCTTAAAAATGAAGTTTGCGGAGGGGGAGTCGTACTGAAATTTCATTTTAAAATTAATTCCATTTTTGCATTAATGTTTCTCAATGATCAACATTCCTCGTCATTCCATACCATTGGCAAACAGATGAAAATTAAATACTTGCGCCTAGCTCCGGAGGAGCCAAGCACATGTCAGACTGAAGCAGCACATGTGTAGGGGTGGCATCCCTCCAAAAATTGCGTTGCCATCATCATACTTGCGCTTAGCTCCTCCGGAGCTAAGCGCAAGTATTTTCAAACCAGTGCCCAAGGCTGATCAAGAAATGTTACTTTGAAATTCCATTTGCGCAATTGGATCACTATCCCAGGGTTACCAAGCAAAAAAAGTGGAATTCGACAGGTTGGTTTTGTCCCCCCCTGTCCTCCCCCTCTATAGGGGTAGGGATATGGTTTGTTGCTAGTCTTGTCTCAGATCAATGTCTGTGCTCCAGCATAGTGACGTCTTGAGCGCTCCCGTCCAGTGGAAAAGCTACCGATGGTAGAATGAATGTGGCACTAAAGGCTCGTGGGACAAGGTGCAATGAACGTGGTACTAGAGTGATGCAAAAGAATCAGTTAGCACTGCAGGCTCAGTGCTAGATTGCTCCCCGAAAACACGCAAATTGAGGGGCTGCCAAGCCGTGTAAGACCCCATGTAGCAAGACCGACAGAAACCAAGAAGTCTTGAGAAATACGCACATGCTTGCAATGTTTAAAGATTGTTGGCCCATTGGCCGACCCAACATCATTTGATTCCCTAACGCCCCACGATTCCTTGGACAGAAGTTCAGCGAGTACATCATGCTACACCAAATGAGCAGCTGAAATGATTGGGACAAATATATAAATATATGGCAGAGAAAAATGCGCCACGTCAAAAATCTTGGTGAAAGGGTGTGAAAAGAATCCAGCCTTGAGCTGTCGCCAAGCACATTTCTTGCGGAAAATTGGATAATTTTGGCGCGCCGTCACCTTTGGAAGTGAAAGCGGTTGCCTGCGGCCTTGTCAAGTCACAGCCGCCCGGCTCAACGCTGACTATTTGACTGGTCCTTCCGAACAGGCAAGCCAACGCAAATGTTCAGGGATTTGGCTGAGGCCTTTGCAGCTGCACATGTTGCACCATCTTCAATTGTCCTGTGAGACGTCCCTGTTGATGGCAGCTGCTTCTTTGAATTGGAATGGTTATTGGCAAATCCCACACGCCGAAAAGGTGCCCTCGGCCATGGACATTCCAGTTCCGGACAACTCACGAGTCATGCAATTCTCTATCCAATCATTGGCGTCAAATATCAGGAACCTGTGAGACATGTAACATGCAAACTCATGGGCGGAGGCAGTTGGCAACCTGTTTGCCTCAAATGCAGTATCTCTGCATGCTT